TTTGCTTGCATGGAGATGTGCATGGGTTTTCCTTTGAACTGTAAAAGATCGTGATTTCAAAAACGAAGCACAAGGGGGAGCTAGTAAGTCATTGTACGTACACGCTTATTTTCCTGCTGCTTGACTCATTTATGTTTTGTTTCTAATAACGTCACAAGGTGCATTTGAACTGATGTGTGGCATGTGTCATGAAACAATTGGTTTGTTTTCTCTTTTGGTTATTTTGATATACAAGTTTGCAGCATCTGAAGTAATTACTGAAGTACTTAATTTCTAGCACTGCTTGCTATAGTGTGCAGTTCATTTGACTCTCAACTAAAATTGTGATGAAAGTGGATCATATTTTATTTACCATATTGATTATTTGAAGGTGTCTTAAAATAGGTCAAGGAATATTAGTGTAAAAAATCTAGTTTACCTTGTAGACTAATGCTTTTAAAGACCAGTAATTTTAAATAGATGCTTACCTTGTCAGTGTTGGCGTTGCTCTGAATGAGCCCTCCATCATGAGTGGTAGGTTGAGAAAGTTTTCAAAATTTCCATGAGAAATCCTTAGCCAGTGAAAATATCTCTGAAGAATACTCAGTGCTAGCTGATTTCCCTTAGCCTAAAAATGTTCCGTGTGTGTTAATGGCCATGCATTGTAAGCAGAGTGAGTGAGTGAGTTCAGTGTGTGATGCTGTTACCAATGGGTAAAGGTTAAAAAGTAACCACTGTAACTATGAATCTAGTGTTGCTATAGGATATGCCTTATTTATTGGAAGAAGGTCAGAAAAATAAAACTTCTCTGTTATTGATGGGTTGGAATACATACTGCTATTAAATACTCGTATCTGTGGAGGCCTTTTTTGAGGATTTTTGAGTTGTATTTTGTTTTAACTTGTTCCTTTGTTTTCCAATGAACTATATGGATGTCTGAGTATGTAAATTCACATGCAAACTTGGTGATTTATATGAGGAATATTTTTTTTCTTTCAAAAATAGTGTAAAACTGTTAGCTCTGTCAAACTGTTGACTAAAACCTTTGGATGAAAGTTATGTTTACACTCTATTTCCAGTCTTCTTCCTGCAGACAATATCAAACAGCGCTGTCCTTGTAACCGCATTCTCCTGAGGTACAAGGAAAGTAAGAATGTCTCTGGTAATTTGTCTTGCTGCACATAGTTGTGAACTGTGTAGTTTGTTCTGCTTAACATAAAAGTTTTTTGTTTGCTTGTCTCCCTTCTATAAAGAAGGCTGTTATTATCACAACAAATTAACAATTGAAGGAAAAAAAAGATCTGCTTCACTTAGCTTCAGTATAATTTAACAGAAACATATTCATTTATTTACTTAACTGTTGTCAGTGAACCTTACTGTCTTGAACCTGCCTGTGAAAATGCTCTATGTTCCTAGTCTAAGTTACAAATTGATATTTTGGAATTGAATACTCCTTACTCTGAATGCATGGAATGTCAGTTAGATGTAGGTTGACTTATCAATAAAGATTGATAATAGTAGTAATAGCAACAGCAGAATGTGATCCTCTTCTCTTCCATAATGTAAGCAGGATCTGAGACTGGGGATTCACATGTAAAAGTAATATTTCTTGATATACAAGATAGACAACTGGAAATCGCTGATGTCAAGTAGCCTGGTTTCTTTGGGTCTCTAGACATAAATATCTATAGAAGAAAAAAATTCTATAGAAGCAGGCCTTTCATCCGTTTTCTTTTTATCAGCAGAAAATGGTTTTTCATTCCTATTTCTCTAGGCCCAGGCAGTTTGAAATCTGCTTCCTTTTAAAAGTGAGGTTGAGATTAATAAACCATGTTAAAAAGAGGATCAAAACCAGGAGTTTAACTTCTTCCATATTGCTGCTTTAGGGTTTGAGTTTAGAATTGAAAAAAAAAATATGTACAGTGACAACTCAGTAAGTAATACTAAAAGCATATCGTGACGAAACAGCCTTGAAACATTTAAAACTGAGATTAAAATTTCCCACAAGTTGCACCTTATTTACTAGTATTTAATAAATTATCCATAAATTCTTACATAAATTCTTTTTAATATTGAGGACCCTAAGCTCTCAAACTCAAGCATAGGTTTAACTTGAAGGTCTTGACAGATCTCATCTAAGTCAGTAGGAGTTATCCCTTTCATAAAGGAAACTGTGTTTATACATCGCTAAGACTAGAGTCCTTGTCAGCAGTCACCACGAGCACATGGCCATTGGCATTCAGGAGCTTTGAGAGTGCAAGTACAGTTATCTTTTCATTATATAGCCTAATTGGGTGCTGACATGCTCTTAGTGTACCAAAACTGGCTAATTTGAGTACCAGGGAATCTGTTGCAGAAGTGCCCAGGGCAGGATAACGTGCAGTCTGTATCTGGCAGAGGTCACCAGTGGCTGGACTTCAGCAGCTACTGGGGGTTTTCCTGCTTTGTACCCTTACTGCTGGACTTTTCTAAGTTTATGTGATGGTATGTCTGACAAGATCAGCAAGTGTGACATTAAGACAGCTACCTTTTTCCTTGGTCCATCCTGAATTCAGCAGATCTAAACCAGGTGAAAGCTGCTGTACTGTTGATGGAAGCCATAACACTGACAAACTTGCATGATGCTGACAGTTTGCATTGCACATGTGTGGCAGAGTTAACAGTAGTCTGGTTAACAGGGAGTTGCTTGCAATGTAGTAATTAAAAAAAAAATGAACAAAACTAGATGATTTTGTCTTAATAATTAGGTTCTAACGTTATAGGAAGGAACACTTTGAATCACAGCTAAGAAAATTGTGGCATAAATTATGCTACTGTTTTTTCAAGATGCAACTATTGCTTAAATCTGTGACTTAGCAGAGTTATAACACAAACTGACTTGTGCATACATTTTTACCCTCTACAAATAACATACTGTTGACGTAATAATGTTAACCATATAATTTCTACAGATGCTTTTAATACTTTAGAATCTGCCCAGTCCTTATTTTCTGTATTTGCTTTTGTTAAACCTCACACCTAATGGAACTACTGAGTTTCTGTAAAGCTTGACCTCTGCCTTTTTTCTCCTCTGCAGGTATTTGTGGAAACACTAGACAAATGTTTTGAAAATGTCTGTGAACTGGATTTAATTTTCCATGTAGACAAGGTACTGTGATGAGCTCCTGTAATATTTCTTGTCAAGTAAAATGTTTGGTTCAACTGACGCTTGGTATTAAACTATGCAGGAACACTTTTATTGTCAGTGAAATATAGATCGTTTCTATCAACATACTATTTTTAAGACTTGAAAGCTATGATGGAACATGTATTTCTGAGGAGAAATAAAATAATATGAGAGATTTGCAGAGTGTTTGCACATATAATTGTCAAATTGGAGATGTCTGAATATTCTCAGAGTAGGACTTAGTTTCAAGAAATAACTTGTTCTATTTTTTTATGGTTAGGTGTTAAATTACTCAGAACTTGTTATAGATTTTTCTGATTAAAGTTGGCAGTTACCTTTCAGATGCTGTGATAATATAATGTAAATGCTGAGTGGATCTTTCTCTTCTAAATCTCAAGCAGGCATTATATGTTTGAATTTTCAAGCATTTACAAACTTACCTTGTTTGAATGTTCCCAGCTATTGGGAACAAGTGTTTTATTTATTAATCTAGCTATTACGCTAGTAATCCTTCATGTAAAAGGACATTGGCATCTCTTGGTGTAATACCTAAAATGCTGAGCATTGAATATACAGAATTTATTCTTTCAGTTGCATTTTGTGACTACTATTGCTTTCTGTGCAGTCACCTTTCCCCATTTGTGAACATCTTTTGGCATCCGCAGCAAAAGACACTAAAGGAAAATAAGAGAAAAATCCCTAAAAGTAGACTAAAATAGTAAGAATTATCTGAAATAACCATTTGAAACTGACTCAGTTTAGTTTAAAATCAGGAAATTATTTTTGAATTATTTTAGATCTTGACCAGACAGTGAAATTCAAATGACCTTGTGCTGGTGTTTGAACTAATACTGTGCTCATCACAAGTCATTGGGATTTCTAGCCTGGCTGGAATACATTGGCTGTTTCCAAAAGGGCAGATTAAAGTACAAGAGAATTCCTGAGTGGTTTATATATTGGCTTCTGAGCTCAAAGAACCCAAATACTGCAATTTTTCTGTGGCATGGTGCTTGATCTTTAACTGCAGAATACTTTGACTGCTTTGCATGCTTTGTAGCATGTCTCATTCAGTAGCAGTCCTTAACATAAGTAGTATTTTACACTTTATAGGAGAAGCATCTTTCTAATAAAATGTAGAGAACATAGGTGCTTTGAAATGTTAAATTTCTTGAAGAATATTTTACTTTGTATTGGATATGAGATGATATTTTCTTCTTGGAAACTGTTTGTCAAAGGGAAGCTAAAAATTAGCTTTAGCATTGGTTTACTAAAATCCTGGACAAGAATTCCATTAAATGTTTAGACTAGAATTTTCAAACACTGAGAAAAATGTGGACCCTAAATACTAACTAGATATTTTAGCAAATATAACTCATTTCCTAAGTAAAAGTTCAGTGGAACCTTGAGTTCACGTTTTCCTTGGTGTTTGAAAATTCTAGCCTGAACATTTAGTGGGATTCTCATGCAGGCTTTTAGTAAATCAATGCAAGGCTACTACCAGCTGTACAGTAGCATTAGTTGTGCAGTTGTGACTAATCTGATGTCATTTCCATTCTTTTTTCTTTCCCCTGCTCCCTCTTCCATATGTAATTGGTTTCCAAGGCTTACTTGATACCATAAGATGGGATGAAAACATTTGGTTCATGCAGTTTAAGTTCATTAGTATTCTTGTCGATCTTTAGGGAAAAAAAAGGAAGATAAATCTGTGAGAATGAAATTACAGCATTAAATTATATTTAAACTGCTTATAAGGTCACCTTGTCAGGAAACAAAATGCACTGAGCCTTCTGAGTTACAGCACATTAACTTCCTCTTGTCAGATGTTTGTGGTCTGGCTTCTTAACAGATCTCAAATGTGCAGTAGGGAAAAACAGCAATTGCTGCTGGATGTTTGGTGTAGACAGAGTCCTAATTATAGTGGCTACAGATGTGAGAGCTGTTTGGGTTGAAACATTTAAAACAGTTGTGTTTTGAGTGGTTTGGTGTTGAGAGAAGTGAGGACTGACCAATTGAGTTGGATGAGAGTTGATCTGTCTTTAGTTCTTGATGGAGTTGTGGAAGGTGATTTCCTTCCAAACTCCTTGCTAGAATTGCCTAAAAACCAAGAAAGACCTTTCTTGTAAAAATGATGTAGAGTTAAACTATGTAATCTCAACAGCTGTTGCCTCTTTAGTAGCATTTCAGGTGGTATTTCTATAAGGAAACATTTACTTTTGTGAGGTAGCCATCATTACACAGGACCCAGTGATGGGTTATAGTAACCTGGAACCAAGAGAGATGCTTATTCAAGACAAATATTGGTATAGTACAAAAAATTCATTTGGAGAATGGAGTATAGGTGGGAATAAGATAGTGTTTCTTATGTGCTGTAGTAGATGTGGACTTGTGATGTCAGAGAGTGTAGTTCGTACAGGACAGAAATGGGCTTCTCTTTTATGGATCAGCTAAATTAAAAACAAAGAAAGAAACAAACTTGCTATAGCTGAAGCAAAATATTTTCCAAAGGTGTAGGTTTGTTTCAGTCTTGTACTGATGCCTACACTGAGTCCAGGAGTGGGATGCTTTCTGATGGAAAAGGCATCACAAAAAGCTCTCATAAGCATCTTTCACAACTCAAATACTAGAATACATTGTTAGGGAAATGAGGAAATGCTTTTATTATCTGACCAGGACAGTGAACCCTCCAGAACCAGTCTGCAGCTTGAAGATAAGAAAATGTGTTTGCCCAATTTTCTTGGGAGAGTTTTTTCTTGATGCATTCCTTCTCTACATTTGTTAAAGCGTAATTTTTTGAAGTGTCAACTGGTAAATTTTTGAAACCAAGTTGTTTTCAGCCTCTCAGGAACAGAAAGTGTGGTGGGGTTTGATATTCTACTTACAACTCATCTTTAGAATGGTTTGATTTAGAGATTTACTTCTATCCTTGATACGCAGAGGAATTGCAAGAATATCCAAAAGAATAGCAGAATTATGCTTTGAAGTATCAGATTGTACAATGTGTTTATTTCAGAAGAGTAATAAAGTGTTCCTTGTCTTCAGAATTGTAATCCAATTAAAATACTATACATGACATACTAACTCTGGATTTTTACTAGAAAGTATGTGGAAGCATGCCTTAAAAAAAAATAAAAAAATTAGTCTTTTAATGAAGTGCAAATACAACTCCAAAGCAGAGATTTGTGAACCAGGACTTACATCCCCAAATCAGGGTTGCAGGGAAGAGGGATTTTAGGTGTACTTATTTCATTAATGTCCCCAGATGGCTTATGCAGTCCTTCAGTTTGAGTCCTAGCTGTCAATCTTAGTCCCAGATGCTGAAGACTCCCTATTTATGGTGTAGCGTAGGTATGGGTAAGCTCAGGTATGTTAATTCTACTTCTGAGTCTAGTCTTGGTACCCATGGTGGGTGAGCATCACTGTGTCTCTCTTCCTTCATAGATGTAGCACAAAGTAGTTTTTACACCTCTGTTTGTGAGCAAGTTGCTTAAGTTTTTAGAAGCTGCTCCTTAGAGGTATTACTACTATTGATGCTAACTGGAACTCTTATCCATAGTCCTTGGATAGAAAACAGGTACTGAAAAAAACAATGAATGTGAAATTTTCTTTTAGTATTTATAAAGTGATACAGCTCATGAGTTTGTAACAGAACTATGAGCAAAGAAGATACTGGATCAGTGAACATCAAGTTATGAGCTTTGTTCTGAAATGTTTTAAATAACTTGCTAACACTGATTAAGTAACTTACAGAATATACGTGTTCCTGTGTTGATGAATCTTAATATCCTCTGTCCAGACATGTGTAGGATATTTTGTGTTTTTAATTTTTCTCTTGGTCTTTTTTAGGTCCATAATATATTGGCTGAAATGGTCATGGGTGGAATGGTTTTGGAGACCAACATGAATGAAATTGTTACTCAGATTGATGCTCAAAATAAACTGGAGAAATCTGAGGTAAGAGTGACACACCGTGTAGTTCCTACACTAAAAACATGATTGTAGTAAATGCATGCTATACAATGCTGTTTGTCCCTCAGTAGCAAACTATATATAGCTGCTTACTTATAATGCTGAAAGTTGACAATATATCATTAGGTTAGGATGTTGTACATTTCATCATAAATAATAATTGCTTAGAGTCGCTGCTGATTAGTTTTTGCTATTTGTATCTAATAGCATTATGCATCATTGCTATTGAGATACCTCTGTAGTTCTTTTAAGTTTCTCTTGCAGAAAGCGTTATATTTCCAGTGTGTTTATTGTGCTGAACTAGGGACTATAACACTTGAATGAAATTAGGTGAAGAACTCAAGTGTGTATACAAAGACTACATATTCCTGCCTGCAAGTATGTTTCTAACACCTGAAATAAATGGCAGTATATTTAGTGTCAGAATAATACTGCAATACAAAATAGTAAATTGGACTGAAATGAACTAGATAGAACTTAAAGCTCAGTTTTAGGCCCTTTAAAGTAAATATGCATTCTTCCTTTTTGGTAAACTGAACACCTGGTCTTCCGTTAAGTAGATTTGAGTAAGAAAATTATATTCTGTATATACCTGTAACAGTCCGAGCAAGGGATGCTCACATAAGTTGTGAGAATTGCTTTTCAGTTCAATAATTGTTGAATTTGTGTTTAGGAAAGAAACTTACTAAGAAAATATTTTAGAATTACTTTAGCTGTTACACAGAATATTACTGTTTCTGTAACATTACCAGATATGCCTTGTAAGCCAAAATACTACTAGTACATCTTGGCCAAGTCTGTGGTTGATTCTCATTGATTAGAGTCATTCTACAGAAGAACACATCATCTGATTTTCGAAACATAATATTCAAATTTCTAAACAAACCTGTGCTTGAATTGGAGACTATTTCTAAAGTTTAAATCAGCTGAGTAGATTAAAATATTGCAGATGGCTTAAATAGGAAGTAACATTTTAAGAGAAGGTGGAGAGAACTTCCTAGTTTTAACTTAGGTGCAACAGAGAGAAATTAATTTTTCATCTTTTTTTGGTACAATTTTGATACTGCACCACCTCAAGTCTTTTAATACACTAGGTTGTCTGTTTTGCACAACTTCCAAACTGTATCCAAGAACAGGACAACATTGTGTGAAAAACAGGAAAAATCTAGGTGTGGTATGATATGATATATCCATAAGGATTGTAGTGTAGATTATGAAGATGTTGGAAATGTTCATTCTAACATTTTCCTCAAACTCTGAATGTGCTGTTGGTCACAGAGATGAATATTTGGAATTATTTTTTTTTACTGTATTTTAATCACTTCTGTATAAACGTATTTTTCTTTATTTGGTGGAAGAGAAACATAGTGTGCCAAAATCTGAACTTACTGAACAGCTATGTTCTACTGTGTATTATACACATACCAGTTTTATGTAAAATCATTTAATTAAGGTATTTACTCCTAATTATGTGAATTCTGTTACAAAATCAGCTGTAGACCAGTCTCTGACTAGTCATCTGAAACACATTAATTCAGTGCAGCCAGCTACAACACATGCTGTTTTCCATTATTCATCAGTAAGTCATTCTTTTAAGATGCTTTTAGTATAAAAATAGGTGGTAGAAGATATTAAAAAGCACATATAGCTCAGAGCATATATGAAAGGCAAATAGTAAGTTGTTCCTTTGCATTCAGCAATGAATTCTAGAAGATAAAGAAGTAGCAGTGATAAATTAGAACAGTTGTTGACTGGGATAGAGTAATACATTTCACAGGCAGCTCACCACAAATATTTTTTTTTGGTTAGTTCAGTGACTGATTCTTTCAGAATTTAATAGTTACTGCAATGCTGAGATACTTCACAATACCTGGTAACTATTTCCTCAGATCATTAATCATTTGTTTCATGTATATCCACAGAAATTTCCCAGTTGTTGTTTCTTTTCATTTTTGTTTTTTGATCAAGATTGTAAATCTTTCAACATGCCTTTCCTGAACATTTACTTTCAAGATACAAGCAAATCAAGTTCATGTAAATCAAAATCAGTAATAAGTTAATAATATTTCTGAATGCTGGTCACTGAAATCAAAACTAGTGGATCTTCTTAACTTTCTTTAATTTAAAAAATATTTTTAAAATTTAGACATTATTGTAGAAATAGTCTGTAATTCATAGAACTGCCACCTGTCCCATAGCACTCTTGCTTTAGTCTCCTTGGCTTGTTAGACCTCTGTCATAGTTCTTGCAGCCATAAAATAGCTGCTTTAAGGTACAATTGCATTTTCTTTAATAGCTGAAATGATGAAGCTAATAAAATTGTAACTGAGGTACATTTTCAAAAATATCTTAAATTTTGTATTGTGCCCACCTGGCTTCTGTTAATACACAAAATTTAGCCATTTGACATCAGATACTTGTTTAGTTACACATTAGATTTCTAAACAGGCTTCCAGTTAGATTTTAGGTTCTTTCAGTTAGAATTTAGTGAAGATCAAATGTTTTTATTAAATTCAGAAATATTTGAGCAAAGCTCTCAACTCAAAGAATTTGTTAATGCTTTCAACAGAGATAAATTATTTAAATCACTATAAGGGAGTCCCTAGCTTTGATTTCTGATTCAGCTCTTAACGTTACTTGGATGGGCTACAAAGGAAATTCTATTTCTACCCTGAGAAATGTTGTCTTTAATGCATATCCCTACCTTTCATTTTAGTGTTTATCTGTGAATGGATTTCTGATCAATCCTCCTAAAGCCAAAGGATCATTGTGGTTGAGGGAGGGAATTTTGGGGAGAGGGGTTATTGGGATTTCATCCAGAGCCTCTGGAACTGTTGTAGATAAACCTGGGCTACCTCTTCTCTATTTGGAGTGTTCAACTGCGTGTGATTTAGACTTTTAAGTTGAACCTCATTTTTTCCGAACCTTTTGATCTTTTCTAGCTCTTTCCATTCTTCTCTCTTACAGACCTTTATCTTTCAGTCTCCCAGACAGGACAGGTAGACAAAGGTATTGCTGACTTTTAGAAAAAAACGTACTTTTAACAAAAAGGGAAAGCAAAATGATGTCAAAGGCAATAAATTATGTAGGCCAGACTCAAAAATTATGTGTAAAAATACCCATACTAGTCCTTGTAGCCTACTTTTTGTGCTAGTTTCTTCTTGTAGTTCCCTCATCTTTTTATTGGCTATAGTGTATTTTACTAGCTTTTCATTGACATCATATTTTTTATTTTATTTTTCTTCCTGCATTTTAGAATTTAACTTTTCTTTGTATCATTGTTTAAGAAACAAAGGACTATAAACTTGTATGAATATAAAAAAAACTGCAAAACTAATCTGAATAGAAATTGAACACACAGATAACAAAATATTATATGATGATTTAATAGAAACAGCTTCCTTACTGGGACAGTTTTGTACCTGATAATATAAAATAGGTAGTATGAACTCTTTTGCTTCACCATTTAGTATTTCCAAATGAAAACAAAGAACTGCCTGCAGAGAGAAGTTTCAGAGTAAGTCTAAGGTGAACAAAACTTAAAAAAAAAACCACAACCATCAAAACGAACAAACTCAAATAGTTTTTTGGATACAGACTAAAATTGACAGTGCAATGTGTAAATTTCATAGAGAAATACTGAAGTTGATCTATGTCAAACATAAAATGAGAAGGGCTGTCAGCATGTACTCAGCTGCAGATGTATGTTTGGTGCCCTTGCAATCCGAATCACTGGATTTTGCTTTAAGATATCTTTATAACTGTAGTCACCGAACATGAATATAAACAAAGAACTGAAAAAGGAGGAGGAAAATATATGTTTGAAGTTCAGTTTATGGTCATTGTCCCCCATCATTTGCTGTTTGAAACATTTAGTTCAGCTCAGCAGTTTCAATGTCAGTCAGTGTTAATTCTCGTACTTCAAAATTCATTTCCACTCATTTTAAGTATCTGTGTATTCAAACTACAGGTATTTAAAGAGCTGGAATCTTAAGCAGACAAAGTTTATTTAATTTATGAAGAGCTTTGCTGTTTACATTTTACATGATCTTTCAGGATAAAGTAATGTAATAACTTTAACAAATATAATTCTGTAATTTGATGTAGTAGCACTAAGTTGTAAAGCATTAGATAAAATATTATCGGGTTGTATGTTACCTAAACTTTAAGTATGCTATAGCATGTGAAAGAAACCAAGAAAATGATCTTCCTCTGCCTAATATGTCAGCACTTCTAATATATAATGTGTATTTCATTGTAACGGTAGGGAGTTTGATTTTTAGGTTTGGTTTTGGTTTGTTGTTTGTTGTTTTTTTTTATTTTGTGCAAAGCTACTTTTCTTTTTCTCTGTTATGCTCACACATGTTCTGTTTTTATTTTTGGGTCTGGCAATGACAAACAAATGAACAAATAAGTAATCATTCCCATCCATTACTCTCTTTGTGATTCAAGTGCTTAAAATTTCTAAGAGTACGTCTTAAGTCTTCTTATCTGTTTGGCCTCATTTTGATATACTTGCAGACTTCATTTTGTTTTTTCTCTAATTATGTTCATTTATTTAACTTCATAAGCAGGGGACATGATCATTCCTTTATATTATGTATTGCATCCTTTCATGATTTCATAACCCTGCTGCTTTGAAGTCATACTTGTTCTAGAAAGAAGCATTGCTCTGAAACACCAGCAGCAGAGAGGTCCTAGTACCTCTGAAATATCTGGAAAAAGGTGGCTAATTTTGTGAAGCATTAGCCTTCATTATTTTGTTTTCCAGTAGGCTGTATATCTTTATATGTTTATTTTAGTGATACCTACCTCTGTGTAGAGTTGTTTGGGATGGCGGTTTGGAAAAACTATCTTTTTTCTTTTTCTTTTTTTTTTTTATATTTGTCTATGCATATTAACTACATTTCTGTGACGTGCAATATTTTTTCCAAATTATCTAAGTTTCTTTTTAAAAAGTAAAACAACGTTTCTGGGATCACTTTCATGTAAAGTTATCAGTGGGACATTATGAAAAAGGATGATGATAAGAATGAAGAATATTGGTTCCTATAGTGATAAATAATGACCTAGGTAAACTAACACCTCGTACTTCTTACTTGGTAGGCTAGGACCAGTAGAATAAAAGTTCTGTTATTAAATGTATCTACTTCAGTCTTTAAAATAGCATTATTGTTTTGCATGTGTGGTATTGCTCTTTCACCTTAAAAATATATGAACATATATACAAGCATTTTTTTGCAGTAACTAAACCTAAAATTTTAATATGCAGTATTTCAATATTAAAGTACAACCTGTAATAACAAATGAAGTTGAGAACACAAAGCAGCTGTGGAAAAATAGTGTATCGGCTTATTGTAGTACCAGCTGTATGCAATTCATACTGTATTTCTGAAATGTCATTATTATGTCTTAAGAAGTTTCATTTTCACTTGCTTAAGTCATTTGCTCGCTGTGACAGACAACTCATTCACTGCATGTTTAAAGCTTGCTACATGGGGTTTTTTGGTTTGTTTTTGTTTCGTTTTTTCAAGTGAAACAGTTTTTTCTTTGCACCTTACCAACTTACCTGCTGAATTATTTGATAAAAATGGCAGTTGAAACTTGGCCAGTTAAATGTTACAGTCATGGCTCTTTTAACCAGGTGCCTCTATAAATTGGCTTAAGCGCACACTGGGCTGAAAATACTTTTTGCAGTATCTTTGTGTTTGTAAATACAGTTCACTTTCTGTAGCAGAAATGGTAAATAAATGGAAGGACTGCAAACTAGTCCACTGACATGCTAAAAAGGAGTGCTAAGGCATTTGGATATAATTGCATTTGCAATAATGTATTAGGTATCCAGTTGGGAGCTAAGTACTTTTCAGTCATTTTATCCATTAGACATTTTTTTATGAACTGTTTGCTCTCTCTTAGAAATACTGTATGGCTATTGTGCTTGATAGGGCTAGCATTAATTGTGATAAATAGTGTTCTGCTATGAGTATTATTTATATATTGAATTACAAATTCTCTTAATATGGAGAATTGCAGGAGAAGGGAATGTAATAGTTTGAAAATCTCTACTCCAGCATATGATAGTGAAAGGCAATCGCGCTGGCAAAAAAGAGGTAATCTAGTACTTTTGTCAGGGATCTTCGCTGACCCTGATCCAGAATGATCCTCATGAAATGTAACTGTTGGAAGTTGTGACTGTATAGGGGGGTGGAAGGGCAATGGTCATGTCAATTGTGGTATTTAAAATAATTCTCAATTGTGTCTCCATTGTATCCTATGCCATTGGGGCGGGAGGCAGGGACTTGTAAGTCTGTGTAAAGAGGATAGCTGCAGGTAGGTAAAAATAATGACCAGTTATACTAAAACTTTTATTTGTCCATTAAAAATAATTAACTTTCATTAAATTAGGGTAAGGAATCTCCATCCTAGTCACCTAGAAGGCATCTCTCTTTTGAATTGCCAGCCATGCCTGTTTGTGTGGACCATGTCCATCACTTAACAATATTTTTCTGGTTTCCCATTGTTTCAGTTACAAATTGTATAATTCATTGCTTTTGTTACTACTTTATTAGTATTTTCATCTTCTCTATGGAAAACAGTTTACATTGCCCCACTTTTGATTTTGCTTAAAGAATATTTCCCCAGTTACTTAATACAGAATTTAAAGAATAGAACCAAATGAAAAGGAAATGCATTTATTGTTTTATCTGATAAAACTTCACTGGTAATTACCTCCTGATTTCAAATTAGTATTTCCATGTTCTTAAATACAGAAGGACAGTGGTGAGCAGCTTTATATCTTCTGCACTGTTTTTAAATAAATAGCAAGAAATTGCAGTGTCTAATACTGCTCCTTTTAAGATACTGCAGAGTCAGGGATGTAGATTTTGAATACTTGCATTTCTTAATACTGCTAATGTTAGGTTCAGATTTTCACATTCATTAAGGTATTGGAATTGAAACAGCCTCTGAAGTGAATGACCTGATAGACTTGGTGATGCTAAGGGAAACCAAGGAAGAAGAGTCTTTGAAAAGACATTTTTGCACCTTTTTAGTTTTACTTAGTCTTAGAACCAATAATTTGGATTGTGTCAGGGCCAAAGTGAGAGCGAATTATTTGTTTGCTTTAGAGATTTAAGTTTGCTGAGCTTCCTCGTCTACCCCAACATGCCTTTCCCAACTTTGGCATGTGTCATTTATGAGTGTTTGGCAGGAGGGATGTTTTAACAGATGACTCATGGCTTTCTGGTCTCTGTTTCTGGTACTGGGAATCTTCCTGTGACTAAAATCTTGGGATTTATGATGCTTTAGCCTTTCCACATGATATAAAAGGTTTAGTTCAAAATTGGAACTTTAATCAGTTTTGTTTTGACAATGAGTTATGTTTTTGAAGGCAGAAGGAGAACAGCAGGTAGGATTCCAAGTGGAAATCTTATGTTAATTTTATGTTATCTTTTTTTTTTCTTATAAGAGTAGTAAAGGGGAGAAAATATTTTTTGGATACCTTCAGAAAGTAGAGTTGTTATCTTGGGAGTATATAGGATGTCTGTCTCCTTTTGTGCACTAGTGCAGGTGGACACGTTGGAAGTCAGGTGCATTCATCAGTCCTGATATACCCTGTAATTGCCATGAAAATCAAGAATCTGAGAAGGTTATACTTCAAGCAGTAGTCACCTGCCAACACTGTTTACTAATCAAATCCAACACAAACTTTTCCAGAAGTTTTGCTTCTTTTTGTTTTGTTGTACTACTTGCACAGAATTGTTGTATCTCCAAATTCACTGGTTTCTTTGGTCTTTGACACTCTTAAGATGAAAGACCTTCCATTTCTACGGGTTTAGTCTTTTGTTTAACCACTTCTTGGCATGTTGCTGTGTTTCTTGTAGATGGCTCCTGTTTACTAGGCCTGCAAGATGCCACACTTTAAACCTGTAGTAGTTCTGAAAATTACTTTGTGTTTTTTATTATTTTTGAATATTTTAATCCTACTTTTAAAACATCAAAAT